CCATTACAGACCTGCGTTGTTTACCTAAACTTTCAGTCGAGACACAGTGGCTGCTTAAACGTTTCAACTTCCGCCTTGATCTGGATGCTTCAGAGAATTTTTCGAACGTTTCTTTCAACTGAAATCTTTTTCGGGAAATCTAGAACTACACAGACTATAAGTATGAAGTTTTTTGAACAACGTTTAGTGCCTAAAAATGGTGCGACAAAAAAGTGTATCACATCGTTACTTTAGTAAATTGGGTTTTATAAACAAAGTAAAGAGTCTGAAAAAAAGAGTCTTGTTAACCCTTCTATAAACTTTGCTCAAGACACTTTTTATTAGCTCTTCTAAATTCGCAGGAATATCCACTTTAACGAGGAGTACTTAGAATTTATGGCCTTTTTATGTCACAGCATTACTGATCTAAAAAGGTTTTCTGGAAGCTCGAGTCTTTAATCAGTACTCTTCGTTTTTATACTCAAAGTAGAGTAAGAAGAGCCGCGTCGAATGGCGCAAAAACGAACGCTCTAGCTCTTACAGTTTTTGAGAAAATCTCAAATTACTGTGTCAAAAATGCCATAGCGTTACCCCTTTGGACAAAGCCGATAAGCAATTTTTAATAATTTTCATGAAAGTTTTTAACTGGTGCATGTCTAGTTGTAATCTTTGCAATTTTTGAGAGTAGACGAGCAGAATTTCACATGGACTTTGATTAAATCTTATTACAGTTTTGTAATATTCAAATCATTGTAAATTATTTTTCATCTTCTATTTATAATGATATCACCACAGTACAACGTTTCTATTTTTTTAGTCTGGATCATCCATATTTTGATGAAATTGAAGCGTTTGAACCCGAGGAAGAATTGTTAAAACATGTTGAACCACAAGTAAGACAATCACATCATTATTTTTTCTTATTATTTCTCATTTTGATCATGTTATGTGATCTTGGAAAAGAATAATTAATACATTTTTTGCTCGAATCAGTACATTTATGTTCTAGAATCAATTTCATATTCTTATTTTGTTTTATTGATCATTATGTTATTTATTTATTTCTAGGTTCCAAAAACTTTAGATCAAACACCGTATGTTTTTGTTGACACAATTCATGAATTAAAAAATATGCTTGATCATATCGAAAATCAACAAGAGTTAGCCATTGATTTAGAAGTAAGTTAAATTTCTTAATTTCATCGATTATAATAGACTTTTTTTTCTTTATCGATAATTTATAGCATCATTCATATCGATCGTATCAAGGATTTACGTGTTTACTACAAATTTCGTCCAGAACAAATGACTATATTGTCGATACTCTAGCGTTGCGAGACGAACTTCATATTCTAAACAATGTTTTTACAAATCCAAAAGTTACCAAAGTAAATTGAAAATCTTATACATATATCGTCGTTTTCTTTTTAATTGAAATCTATAGCTGTAGAATTTGCCGGTTTACTCGGCAGAAACTTATTGATTCAGCGAAGTTTTTTGAAAAAAATTGAAATTTCTTTTGACAAAAATATTTGACAATTTTTTGAAAAGACTTTTTCTATCGAGGAAAATTTTCTAATCTCACGGGTAGAGATTCTACACCTGATCAAACCATTCCTATGTCAAGCAAAAAATTGTCGAAAATATACTTAGAATAACCCCTGTAATTGAATTTTCCTATTGTTTTGACATATCTAGAAAAGATACGGTGTTTTATTAAATCGATTTAGAGTCAATAATTTAGAAAATACTATAGCGTTTGATAAAAGCAGCATCCATATTTTATTCAATTAAAATTAATATTACTCGACGTTTCGACTGTGCTTACACACAGTGGGCATTAGGACTGTAAAAGTTCCCGTTGCGGTGTTTTAACGCTAACTGTCTTTTCAGTTACCGTTGAAATAACGGTAACTATCAGTTAGTTAACTTTGTGGTAACTATTTCTTAATTATGGCAGAAATATCCACAATAGGTTAAATTTTTTCCACAATTGAAATACAGTTGCTCAATTCTCACTTTCTTAAGAGAAAGACAATACACTGTATCTGCACTTTTATTAAGTGAAATTATGTGAACAAAAGCGAAAAAGAAAATGAAATAAATAAACAAATAATAGTTATTTCAACATTATTCGACAAAAATCTTAGTGGAAATAATTATTTTTTGTTTCTCCTGGTGCCGGGGCAAAGACTGTCGGTGGCCGGGCGGCGCCCGGTCTAGCCCACCCCTGGTTACGCCACTATTTGGAAGCCATTTTAAGCCGCTGCCTGGATATTTCTGCCACCATACTTAAAAAATAGTTACCACAAAGTTAACTAACTGATAGTTACCGTTATTTCAACGGTAACTGGAAACGCAGTTACCGTTGTCGATAACGGCCGAAGAAGTAACGGTAACTTTTACAGTTCTAGTGGGCATATGGACGGACATCTGACCAAAAATCGAAAGTGAACTTTTATGTGATTTGAACAATGTCAAATATACTCCGTTAAAGGCACTATCCAATGGCGTCTAAGACTTTTCCTTCTGGAAAGGTTCGGTAGAGAAAAACCCGAATATATAAGGAAAACGCTAGAAAATATGAAGTGTACAGAGTAATCGCGAATCTACCTATATCCACCTTTAGAGAGCCTTAAAAAATCAGTGAAAATATTCATTAACATACCCTGCATCTATGACAGACTTACAAAACCACACAACTTTATCTCTATATAGCTATAGATTTTCCCAAAACTCTTGATTTTGAGGTATTTTACAATTTATTCGGTTCAAAATCACTTCTATTCAAAAATAAGGCGATATTCTGAATCAGCGTGAAAAACTGCATTGAATGATATATAATTCGTTAATTTTACAAATAAAATATTTTTTAAGAAAAAATCAGGGAAAGGGATTTTTTTATGGGAAACTTTTTCTTACTTTATTGATATTTGACGCATAATAAGACATTGGGAAGCCAGCCGATTCTACAATACTATCTCGATCCGCTCTACGCCAGTTATCCCAGTCTATTTTGTGAAGAAAATCAGCTGCATGTTTTTGTAAAGTTGAGTTACCTGTAGATAGCGTAGTCATCTTCTCCATCATCGAAAACGTGCTTGTCAGGAATACCCATGGTCTTTGCTTAATCCGTTATTCTTTTTGAACGGCTTCTGTTTTGCTGCTCTCAATAAATCAGTCCTTTCTGATTGAACTACTGGTATTTCACTACTTGAACGTGAAATTCGAGCAGGTTTTTCTAGCCCATGTTCCCAAAATCGTCTACATACTTGACGGATCGTTCTTCCCAACGTAACTTGAAGTACAGTCTTAAAAAATTGAATAAAATATAGATACTGCTTTTATCAAACGATACGGTGTTTTTTTATTAATGAAATTTGTTTTGCTTATATTAACTGTCATTCCTTCATATGTAAATAGATCAAATTTTATTTTGTTTTCTATTCTTTCAAGGTATTCCATGGTGCCGACTCCGATGTTGAATGGTTACAGAAAGATTTTGGATTATATGTTGTCAATATGTTCGATACTTATCATGCTGCAAAAGAACTTAATTTACCAGCAATGTCATTAGCCTATTTAATGAAACAATATGCGGATATTGAAGCTAATAAACAGTATCAGTTGGCTGATTGGAGAATTAGGTAAGAAAACAAAAAAAAATTGAACATCGTAGAAAATCATGATCGTAACGAGCTAATAATAAATAAGCACTCTGTAAAGTAAAAGTCAACAGAAACATGTACGGACTGTTCCAAAAAAAACTTATCCTCTCTGTATTTATTGACTTTCTTGTATACAAATATAATTGATCTTTTTACGATCAATTTAGTCGAGTAGAGCAAAGATTTCTGGATAAAATGAGATGTCTTCGAGCTCTATAAGAACTTTTCTCATGAAACAACATGCAGTTTACGAGAGATCCTAAGAGCGTATCTTTTTTGTTTTTTCGTTGATTTTGGTGGTATGAGACCTTCCGTAACTTGAATACTGTTTCATGAGAAAAGCTCTTAGAGAACCCGGAGACGTCTCATTTTGTCCAGAAATGTTTTCTCTACTCGACTAAACTGATTATAAAGAGATTAATTATATTTGTACACAAGAAAGCCAATAAATACAGAGGGGTTAAGTTGTTTTTTTTTTGGACACCCTGTATATATGGGGTGGGCCATAATAAACGGGTCAAAATGTTTTTCCACTTTTGAGATACTTCCCGCTAATGTGGAGACTTGGCTCAGAGCTCATTCCATAGAAAATTGAAAGCTCTACAAAACTGTCCATTTCCGTTTTTCAAATACATTTTTTTAATCACAAAATTTAAAAGATTAACACATACTTAATCTTCAAACCGCGATCTGACGTTTTTCTGGACATCTGTCCGATTTGTACTTCATTTTTCCAGGTGAAGCTTTGCTAGTGAACATAAAGTATTTCGCATGAATCGAAAGGCAATTTTGTTCTCTATATTTCTACACTCTTTTCAAAAATTTTTGCTTTACTTTTTAGCAGAAATAGGCTAGAAACTGAGAGGTGATAATAGTCTTTCCGTCACGTTTTTCAGAATCAGGTTAGTGTGCAAAAAGTTTATGTTCATACAGTTAAATGCAGAATTCAATGCTAAACATATTACTTTAAACAGTGAAAAGTGTAATTTTTCATAAACTCGAAGTTCAAAACGTTTATCAGTGATTATATCTGTATTTCCACATTTTTTAATTCTAAAAAAAAATCTAAGATCATTTTATCAATTTCTACCCATCGCAATTTCAAAATTGAGTATGTGCCGATCTTTTACGTTTTTTACTATGAAAAAAATCTATTTGAGAAACGAAAATGATAGTTTTGTAGAGCTTTCAATTTCTATCGAATGAGCCACCCTAGTCTTTCCATTAAAGGAAAGTATCGTACAAATAGGAAAACATTTTGACTCATTTATTATGGCCCACCCGTTATATACAACTGTTACAGTTGAAGTACAGTTTGTGTTCTTCATATTTGTTTACGGTCTGTTCTGTCGATATATAATTCAGAACTTTCAGAAAGTCAATTGTAAACCGAAGAGACAATACTAAAAACCTGTTTCGACTTTCCAGTTTGCCGTAGTTACAGTTCATCCCTTGGTTACGGGTTCTTTTTGGGGAGTGGGACAAAATGACAAAAAATTGTTTGTTTTTTTCAAAAAAGCCTGAAATAGATTTTATTGACATTCAGATATGTTTCAGAGTATGATATTCTTCAAAACAGCCTACTCCACAAAATCAGAAAAAAAAGGTCTGCCGAGCCCAAGGTGCATAAACACAGTCACAATAAACATGTTAGGAAAGGGTGACCGGTTTCATTTTCACTGTTAGTTTTGTTGCTTGGAGCCCTTCAGGATAAACGATGAGAGGAATGGAGGCGATTGTTCGAGTAAGACTTGGATTTAATTTTTGAATTTGTAATGATTCACGAACGAGAAAACGATATTTGTGTGAGATGATTTTCCAACTCTCCCAATCAATTCTGTGTTTTGTTTCGAATTTATGTTTTTGGAGTGCTGATTTTATTTTTTTATCCAACAACTGAAAACAACACAATTTCACTCTTCAAACCTGCTCCAAAAACATGAATTCGAAACAAAAGATAGAATGGATTGAGAAGGTTAGAAAATCGTCTTCGCGTTTATAAATCATTACAAATTCAAAAATTAAATCCAAGTTTTAATCGAACAATCACCTCCGTTCCTCTCATCGTTTATTCTGAAGGGCTCTAAGCAACAAAAACCAACAGTGGAAATGAAATCGGTCATAGTTGAAGTAGAATGAGTCAACATTCATGATTCTCATCAGAGTTTTCGATTTCGTTTAAAATTCGGAATAAATGGTGTCCCGAGTAAATGATTTTGAAGTAAGTGAAACTCGAAGTAAGCAATCTTGAAGTAGATCAACGGTCCGGCGTGAATAAAACGGATTAAGTAATGTTCTGATAAAGTAAGCTAAAAGTATGTTAATAATGAGATAATAAATAAAAATTTTGTCGTAATTAATAGCTTTAAAAACTGTTTATAAAACATGTTTATTAAAGCTATGACATAAAAAAAATCAGAAAAGATCTCTATTTAAGGTTCAATGAGAGTAAGTTTAAACTGATAGTAAATCAAATTTCATATTTCACACTTTGGAGTAAGTGCCTAAACTTCCTTCTCTTTGAAAAATTTGTAACAAAAACTCTGATTCTAATGATGTATGTGCTTTCTGTAGAAAAGGATTCGATAGCGTATTTTTGGTTCTTCTACAGTGGCGGATCCAGGAGTTTTTTGGTATACTGAATCTCAGCTTCAGAGCATGGGACCCAGATGAAACTTATGGAGGATGATATTAAACTCAAATGACGAGCTTTTCTCAACAAAATTTTTCGAGCGGAGTTTGCGAAAAGAAAATTTTTTGGACCGCCGCCCCCTCAATTTTTTTTTGCTTTTGGTATTATTCTATTTTTTTAGAATTTAATCATAATCTACATCATATTTTCATCGACCGATTTCAAATTTCACCTAAAAATATGCATCCGTTCCGGAGTTGAGACGTTTTGCATTTTTTGGA